TGATGAACAGGCAGTCATTCAGTCGCTGCAGGGTTTCAATTGTTAGCTAGTGTTGCACTTGACTTGCCCGTGGTGTAGTTCCCGCTACTTTTAAAAGAAAATGCAACAAAGGCGTCTCTGTTATTTTGAGGGGAATTACAATTAATTTCGCGTTCAATACAATAGGTTTCAGGCTAATTTGGGCATTTTATTTTACTCTGCACCGCCGTAGCTGTTATAACGTACACGGTTTTACTTTGACATCCCGGAAGCTAAAAGATAAAGTTAGACCGATTGAGATGGGACTTCCGGTAAGGTAACAAATAAGACCCCCATTAATTGTTGAAGCCAAATTGTGGAGCAACTTTAAAGTGATATTTCAGTTATAAACTTTTTTCTGAAGTTGTGTTTTATGAGCAATAAGCAAGACTGCGTTATTTTAGCTTGTTGTTGCCTGTATGTCTGTGAGGCCAGTCATGTCATTTCCGGTGTTGTGTTGTGTTTTTTGAAGTTCACTTGCAGGTTATGGAGGCCATACAGTAGCTCGGGGGTCCCACGTCCTCAGTCTGCTGTTAAACCTTATTCCACTACGTCTACCGAGTAAGCAAAATTTCACTGTTATTAACCCACGGGCAGGTCTTAGTTTTAACAGCACAATGTTTTATGTGTTTTATTTTTTACAGACTGTAAAATATGAAATCTGACCCCTGACAATTTATGTTATTTTCAGATGTATTCGTTGTTCTAAACATCCCAGTCAGTGTTTTATATTTTTGAGTTTAATGTTGTTGGGACATTAACTGTGTGCTTATGCAGCTTTTTACATATAATTTATAATATAATTGAATTTTCCACCATATTTTCTGGACAAAAATATGTTTTTGAAGTGTGATTCTTTATAAAGTCTATATTTAGGATGTGCCCTTTGGAGTTGTGTGTAGCGTAAGTCAAGAATAATTCAAACACTGATGTCAATGAAATACAGTTTAACAGACACTTTGGTAATATATCATTATTACTATTTTCATTATTATTATTTACTTATTTATACAACTTTAATTTTTTAGAAAATATATATATGCACCCAACAAGAAAGACTTAGCTTACATGAAGCATAATTTTCTGGGTTAAATTGCATTTATTTTTTAAAGTTTTCATTTTGGTGTATATAGTACTGTGCAAATGTCTTGAGCCACCTCTCATGTCTTTACATTTTTCTTTCAAGGAGGCAGACTTTCTTGTAATTCGTTTATTTAAAGTGTTCTCGAGCAATAGTTCTCCAGGCTTTCTGGAGGTGTTTCAACATTTTGGGGGTTTTTTTCTCTTGTTTTTAGTCCAGTACTTGTAAACGAGCTGGTATTTATAGTGGCTTTCAGCTCAGTTAATTTTCTACTGCAAGTCTCATTCATCCAATCACACACACACACACATTCATACAGTACTTTCATCTAGCGACTTTCTAATTGGTAGACAACCCACTCTGCCACCTGAGCCACAGCTGCCCCCATCTACCTGAATGTTTGTTTGTTATGCCGCTTAACACGGACCTATGAATTATTCAAGCAAATTCACCTAACTCAATTGATGAACCAGTGGTGTGTCTACACATAACAGGAAGCAGGCAAATTTGAATTTTGTTTTGGCTCAAACTGCCTTTATGTTCGAGAGGATGTCAGGAGAGAGCTACAACACCGAGTATGCAGCTGTCTATAAAACACAGTGGAAATGTGAACACAAAAAGTAGCTTCAGATTTTCAACATTATCCCAATTTTAAAAAATGTAGCTAAAAGACCTCCAAAAAAGCACAATATGCAAGAAAACTGTTCCAGCTAAATGTAGAAATAACAGACTTGTTTCATCACTTGAGGCAAAAACACATCATCGAGTACACCCGGGCTACAAAGGAGGAGATACTAGCAGCTGGTGGTGTGTGACCCAAATGTAAGCAAATGACTCCACCGAGCGCAGCTGGAGCACTCACTAGTCGCACTCCACATGACAGGAAGAGCAAACTGTGGATGGAAATTACAGATGCAGCTACATGTGGCAGAGAAGGGTTTTAAGCAACAGGTTAAAAACTTTGGCCCAACGTACAACATCGCAGGCTGAAAGTATTCTTTCATTTTATTATGTGACAATACTGTGCTATATTTTTTTAGGCCATATTGCCCACCTCTTCTGCTAATGCAGTGCAAACATATCTGGATAAAATTGGCTGTGTTGAAGAATAAATGTGGTCATACCAAATATTTACTTTCAAGCTTGTTAGAATTGTATAAACTCGATTTTTGCACATTTTCTTTTAATAAATTGTTGCATCTATGGGCTCTGGGCTCAAGTAAAACTGCTCTGATGCCAAACAGCATTGCACCTGAATGCTTTAACGCAAACAGTCTTTAGTTTTATGTGATATTTTTATTAATGCCAAACATAGTTTCCGGCTTCCATGCCCGCCCAACCCCCTGTGAAGGAGCCGGAGGAGGAGATGGAGGCAGAGGGTGAGTCGCAGCTCCCCGAGGCCAACGGAGAGGTGGAAGAACCCAGAGAGAATGAAGGAACAAGAGGGGGAGGAGCCGAGGAGACCATGGAGGAAAGTACGGAGGAGAGGGAGACCGACTTGGAAGATAGTGACGAGGAGGAAGAGGAGGAAGAGGAAGAAGAGAGCTCAGGTAAAAAAAAATCAAAATGCTCCACTAACGTTTATACTGCTTATATAAAAAGAGACGCCACCTTAAACTGTTTTCTTTTTTCTCTTTGTCCTATGAAGAGATGGATGATGAAGACTGCGAGAGGAGAAGAGGAGAATGTCTGGATGAGATGATGGATCTGGAGAAACAATTCCAGGAGCTGAAAGAGAAGTAATTTGTGAAGCAGGGGGAAAAAGGGATTCAACACTTTATCCTTCTTCTTTTTTTTCCGATGTCTGAGCCGCCTGTTGTTGTGGCTGATTTCACCGTGTGATTGCAGGTTGTTTCGGGAACGGCTAAACCAAGTGAAAGTCAAGCTGGACGAGGTGCTGACAGGAAAGGCCGGTGAATACAGAGAACCGCTGGCTGCACTACAGAACAGCATGCAGATACGGACACAAGTGGCTGGTACAGAAAAATAAATAAATAAAATCCTAATCAAGTCCAATACCCTAGCTGCCACTGTAGTGCAAACAACCTTGGCTGCCATTTGTCTGTAGTGAGTGTAGGCTGTCAGCGCACCGTTTACCTCAGCTGTAAATATGTGTGCTCATGCATTTACTCTGGATGAGGCTGTAAAACTCGTGAAAGGTACGAGTCGGTGAAGCTCACTTGTGTCCAATGACAGTGATACTGAGGTGAGTTGTTGACGATATCCTCAACCTTACCTGTCTGTAAAGGCTGCTGTTAGGCTCTGTAGTAGAGCTAGGGCAGGGCAATATGGCCAA